GTCAGGCTCTCCGAAGGCTCTTCAAAGTGCCTGGGTACATCCGCACAAACGACATGCTAAAATACCTTAGAATAGACCCGATCAAAAAATACATATGGGACAGAGCCCTGAAGTTATATGCGAAAACTGACAGGCTATCCTACTTAACACTATCTAATTTTAGAGTAATGACTCTCCGCACGGGGTGGTACGCAGATCTTAGATCAATCACTGAATCATCATGAAGCTTATAGGGAATACATAAATTAGGCAATGAGATGGATGGGACCCTGTAGTACCCCCAGCTATCAAAGAGTAAAAGTGCCCACTTGCGGTGACTCGAAAAAAGGATTAACATACATATAATTAATTATGTCAAAGTAACTAATTTTAGTGTTAAGTAACTTTCCACATACGTTTAAGTTATTTAATTTATTTTTTATTTAAAAAATTCTCGATATCACAAAGCGTATGAGGATTACACGAATTAGTCAATAAGATGGACTTTGCAGAAACCCCCCAGCTATTAAAGAGTAAAAGTGCTGAGATGCACTAACTCGGAAAAGGCTCAACATAATAACTTAATAAAGTACTAAAGTTAGATACTGAAAATAACATGATTATAGAATAAAGTAACTTGTTTATACTTGTTCATATATATGTACATACATATGATATATTTTAATGCCAATACAATTTTGATAAATAAAAGCCAAAGTGTTAGTTAATTACACTAAAGTTGTTTTGAACAAACAAAAATATAAAAATAAATAATAGCATAATTGTCAGCTAACAGCACTAAATGTAAGATAATAAAAAAATAATAAATTATAAAATCCTCAACATCATTTGTTAATGGCATTTTCGATTAGTAAGTCTGGGCTAATTTTTTCAATTGTGATGTTTTTTTAATGTTCTTTTAATGCAATTTTCATATTCGATTGGTAAAACTGGCGCAAAATCTATTACAGTCGAGATTAACTTATAACACTGTAGATATTTTCCCATTAATTAGATATTAATTAGATCATGCTAATTACCCTGAAATTCACAGATGTTTTCTCTGATTTGACAGATATTTATCTGTCTTCTTTTATTCTTCTTTTATTTGGATTTAATTTAGATTTACTCTAGATTTATTAAATCTTTGCTGCCTAATCGAACTTTTTAGAGTAATATAACATCATATAAAACAGCTGTTAATTTCAGTAAAATTTTATTAATTTGGAAAAATAACTAGAGTGTTATGAAATAATCTCGAATATTACATATTTTGCTTTATATTAACTAAACGAAAATGAAAATTGTACTAGAAATAAATGTCTGGATTTGGATATTTGGAAATGTCAGGATCCTAGATTTACCAATCAAAAATGACAGAAGTCAGATGTAGTAGATTTTATGGTTGTAATGATATACAATCTTTAAATAGTATTTGTAATATTTATTTATTTATTTATTATATATTATATTATTTTTAAATAATATAAGAATTCAATATCAGAATTCAACTGAGGAATATGTTAGAGTTATTTATATGTTAACTAAGTCTTAAGTTTGTGTCCTATCTTTAAATTTGTTGTTGTTTTTTGTTTGTTTTAGTTTTTTAAAAATATAATAAATTTATTTTAATTTTACATTATTAAAATGACACTTAAAAAGAATAAACAAAGCATTACAACAAAAACAAAAAATGACAATATAATGGTTATAACAATATTCAGTTTATATGATTATGATTATATGAATTCTATGAGTTCTATGAATTCACTCCTGCATATGGGGTGAAGTATTTAACTGAAATATATAAATTTAAATAAACAATAATATAGCTTCAGTAAAAGTATTGATATGTGATAAATTCTCTAAAAAAGCGACTCTATATGCGCTCTCATATATAACTATTATTTAAATAATATAAAATAAATACACCCACTTAATTTATCTACAAAATTATTTTCAAACCCAAGTAAAATTAATTCGTTTCAATTAGTTTATAACGTGTAAATTAAAAATTTTTATTAAATGAATGCATTTTATTGCATTATTATAATACGAAATATAATGAAATTGTTTTTCTTTATTTTATTTATATAACTTTTTGACAAACACGAGTATGTAATTAAAATTACTAACATTACATGGTATAATTTAAATAATGAAAAATGTAAATATTTAAAACTATTTGTAGTATTGTAGATTATTATTATTGAAGTATTTAAAGATAAGTGCTTTACTTTGTATTTAATATTGTATATCATTTATTATTAAATTTTTAATGCGAACCAATATAAAATTCTGAATAGTTACTTTTATCTGCCAGTAGTTATTTTTTTTTAAAAATTATTATTATTTCATTTATTTTGTTAATATAAATGAATATTCATATTTTATTCAATATTTTATTTCGTTTAAATTTATTTTATTACAAAAAATAATTTATTATTTTAATGACCAAATATTATTAATAATAATTTTGCTAATTGGTCAACAGTTAAATAATACTCTTTTTAATAATTTACTCTTAATAATAATAATAATAATAATAATAATACTCTTAATAATCATAAATATTTTTTTTTGGTTTTGAAAAGAATTTATTTGATTTATTTTATTCTATAGTCATATTCAGGGGAATATTTTTAGTACCTTGAAGATAACTATAGTATATGAATAACTATATAACTATATGAATAAAGGAATATACCTTACATCTACATCTATATATATATATTATATGTTTATATTTATAATTTATTTACAAAATTTAGTTGGTTTTTCTTTTTATATGACAATTAGTTACAATGAAATATTAAATAAAAAAAAACCATATTTTGCTTGTTTTTAGAAATAAGTGTTGTTATATATAATTTAATAAAGTGTTCATATAGTAGAGTTTAGATTTTATTTTAATTTTCTTTCTCTCAAATTTTAATTTAATAAAGGTTTCATATAAAGTTTAGATTTAATTAAATAAATTTTTAAAAAGAATCAAGAAGATTTTATTGCATTTCATAATTTAATAAAGTTTTCATATGCAGTTAATATTGTATATTAGTTCATTTTTTAATTTTAATTTAATAACAATTTCATATAGACTTTAGATTTTATTTTAGTTCTTCAAATAAAGAACTTATTTATTATTAAATTAAAATAAAAATAAAATGATTAAAATTAAATTAAAAATAAATTAAGAAAGTTTTCATTTAGGGTTTAGATTTTAAATCAGTTTTTTTATATTAATTTAGTTTTTAATGATTAAAACATTTTAATAATAATTTTAATATAAAGAAATGCTCATAAAGAGGTTAGATTTTATGTCAGTTACTTTTTGAATTTTTTTTAAAAAAAATTTTCATATTGAGTTTAGATTATATTTTAGTTTTTTTTTTATTTTAATTTATTAAAATTAAAATTTTCATTTAGAGGTTCAGATTTTATTATTATGTTGAGGATAGTTGAGTCAGTGCACTTGAGCACTTTTACTCTCTATTAACTGCGAGGTTTCTTCACTACTACGCCTTAACTGGATTATTGTTTATCACTTCAACAGACTAAGCAATAATAGATCTCAGATCTGCATACCGCACTGAGGAGCCTGTAACCATTCTGAGATTGGATTACGCGGTGTAGGTAAGACTGTCAGTTTTATTAAATAATTTCAAGGCTCTATCCTTTATGTATCGTCCTAATGTACTATGGTACCTTGAGTAGTCTGCTCAGAGCCTGGCTTTGTATAATTTCTAACTGGCGAATAGTAGTGTTTGAGGTTTTGTTGAACGCTGAATTATTTAGTTATATAACAGTTTCCTGTTCTTTAGATTGAGATTTTCATTATTATATTAAATAGCGGTTGGAGGTGATGAAGAATTTTGGCACACTTGATTCATAGTTAAACATGTTTAAGCTATGTGAAACGTTTGTCCACCGTGATGCCTAGATATTTAAAGCTATTCTTTCAGTTTATTACCATATCTCCCACTCTCACTCTCGAAGGGTTCTGTCTCCACTTACGCGTAATAAACAGTTTTTTTTTCTTGAATTTTAATTTAATAAAGTTTAGATTTTATATCAATTTCCTATTTCTTTTAATTTTACTTTTTAATCCCAATTGTGTATGAGTCAACACCTCTGGATCATAACGTTTACCTTCTTGTCTCTTCTTTGTTGTGCATGACGTATATTTTACCTATATATTGTTAATTCCACCAAAATAATAAAAAAAAATTTATTTAATAAAAATAAATAAAATCAAACTATATAAAAAATAAATGAATGAGAAATTAAATCGAAATATGATTAGCTCATTTTTGACGTCATCGCCAAACAAAACGTAGCCACGTGCTATATGGACAATATGGGACGCTCCTAGCGAATAAATAGCAACAATGATTCGCGTGATCAAATGGAAGCGCTGGCAAAGTACGATCGCTGGATAGAATTTCCAAGTATTTTCACTTGGGTTTTATGATATCAAAGCCAACAGAAGAAGTGCAGCATTGAGCACTTAAATGATTCCAAGTTTACTTTTTATTTAATAATTATTTTTTTTTTTTAAATTTAATTTTGCTAGAATTCTGTGAAGTTTGCGTCCTCAAAAGATTAGCAATGCTAAGCAAAAATACATTTACTTTGAAAAGTAGAAATGAAATATTTAATTTCAAAACTTAAAAAAAAATGCAGCATTTTTTTTCTTTTTTGTTTTGAAAAGAAAAGTGAGTGTAATGAAAATAAAATGAAATTAAATCAAAAGCATTCAAATAATAATAAAAAGTAAAGTGAAATTGTACATAAAAGTGCAATATTTGCAAAATCGACATAAGTCACGGACTTCAATGTTGTTTGTTTTGATTTAGTGACATTGTCCGAGTTGAAGGCGACATTGGAAACTGAAATTATATCAGAATTACATATAAAAAATATTAAAAAAAAATAAAAAAAAAAATATAACAAGACCCATTTAATATTATAACGTAAGAAACGGTGCGGTGCAGTCTTCTGAGACTGCAACTGAGCTTCGAATTAAATTTTTGTACGACCGAGAATTTAGTTGCATCGCGTTTTTAGACAAGCGCTGAATAAAGCACTCAATAGATACTTTCAACTGCATTGGCAGATTCGGCTTCGGATTCTTGAGTTATTAATTTTTCGAAATGTTTAAATATAACTTAATTAACAAAAATTAAATTTATGTATTTTAGTCTCAATTTCGTAGCGCCTCAGTTCATTCGGGTACCGTACCGCTGACGTGTGTGCAGTGCAGTATTTCAGTGTTTCAGTGTTTGTCTTTTAATTTAATTGTTGTCTCACAGACAGAATTTCTTTCAATTTTTTTAAAAGAACTAAAGATTTTTTGCAAAAACTCAATGCAGTGCAGTGCGAAGCACAGTGCAGTGTGAAGAACAGTGTAGTAGGAAACAAAGTGTATGCCAAAAACATGGACTAGGTCCATAAGACTAAGTGTCGCTCGGTCAAACTCCGTAAACTCCGTAAACATTTCGAAAAAACACAAATCTTATTTTTTCATCTTTTATGTAAACTTTAAGTGCAGCAGCATTTTTATGAACCGTAATTTACGATATTTCGGAGCGGTCTTGTTGCAAACGTTCGCTTATTTGTCTGCATATTTTATCGGGATTTTGTTTTTGAATATCTTAAATTGTAATTTCGGTATGTTGTTGTTTTTTTTTGCCATACTACATTGCTGCAGTTGAGCTCTTAACCAAACAAATACTAAGATTTTTATTAGTGCGGATCTGGATTTGGTTGTGGACTTGTGCCGTTTCCAAAGCTATGCCGTACAACTGCAGCAAGCACATTAAAGCTAAAACGTCATGGATTCAAAAAGTAATCATCATTATTACTAAATACATACAAGTATATTATGGAATATGTTTTCCCTTCGATTATTGCCATACAGTTGTAATTTTATTGGATTTTTATTATGCATTTCTTGGTTCAGTAGCCTAATGATTTGTTTTGTCTGGACTTGTGGTTACTGTTATAATTATTATTCTTTTTTTATTTTTTTTATTTTTCTTATTCTTCTGGTTAAATAGCTTCTATTGAAGATGATTATGATGTTGGTCATAGTTGCGATTAGCGCTGATGATGATGGTGCTCTGGTGGCGTTGGTGGTGTTAGCAATATTAACAGTTTAATGCCAGAGTACCCTTATCAGCATCTTGCAAGTGTCTGCAATCTTTTGTATATCAAATTTCTTTTTATTTTCTTTTTTTTTTTAATTTTTTTTGTTTATTTTTTTTTTCCACTCTAAATTTGTTGCTAAATGTGTTGTTTCATCGTTGAATAAGTTTTTTACCCTAAAACATTTATATTTGCTATCCAAGTATCAAATAACGAATGAGTTAAGTGTTTTTCAATTGCTTTTGGTGGTTAAAAAAAAATTTATATTGTTTTATAAAAAATATTGTATTATAAAAATATATTAAATAACACTAAATAAAGATTTTAAAAATACTCATATTTATTTACAAACATATTGAGAACTTACGCATATAAGGTGTTCCTTTCAACATAACGTATGAATAAATCCTCAAGCCAGCATTGAAAACTGCTTTTGACGATTTAAAATTTTTTTTTGGTTTTATAAAAAATATTTTATTATATTATTTATTTTAAATATTTATTGTTATTTATGAAACTCATTATTATCATTTATACTCTTTTATATCAATTTTTGGTTTTAAAAAAATATTTTATTACATGATTTATATTAAATATTTATTATTATTTATGAAACTCATTATATTATTATTATTAATAATAATGAAATTCATATTTATTAATAAATTTTTTAAGGGCTTACATACATAAAGTTTTCTTTTCATCAAAACATATGAGTAATACCATTAAAAATAAATTATTAATAAAATAAGTCGAATAAATAATAATTTTTGAAGTTCGTTTACTTAAATTAATATTAGCTATATTAAATATGTATTAATTATAATTAATAAAAAAATTGATCAGTTATTTAAATCCTTTCTCATGTTTTTTTTTTTGAAATACTATTGAAAATAAAATGTTGATAAAATATTTTAAATTAAAAATAATTTTTTTTAAATTCGTTAAATCGAATAAATTTGTATATTAACTATAATTGTTAAAAACAAATTTTTCTATCAATTTAAAACTTTTTCTCTTGTTTTTTTTTCTCTAAAATGATATCCTTTACAAGGATGTGAATCATCACAAGCATTTTATTAGCAAAGATTATGATTTCTTTTAGTTGGTATTATATACTTCTTGAAACATTCTTCTTTATTACTTGCAAGGTGAACAAATTCTTCTGATGTCTTTACTACAGCTTCGAATATCCATTAGAACTGTTTCTTCCTATATCACGTCAACCTTAAATCTTACCAACTACACTTGAGTGAAGTGACCATTGAATTTCTAGCAATTATTCTGTGAATATCTAAATTTTTATAAGAATGCATACACATCATTAAATAAGATACATTCTAAGCTACCAGTATAGCTTTAATTTCAATGCAGAAAAATCTGGACTAAGTTTTCTGATGTTTTGAGTACACCTTCGGATATTCGTGAGTCATTAGAATTGTTTCTAGCCTGTTCCAATCGTGATTTTTAACCTGTTATACATACAGTTACATACATAAGTTTATGTCTATTCTTTTATTGATATTACCAGTTTTCTGCCTTTATACAAAATTCTGAAGACATCTTCAATGTTAATGAGAGCTACTTACGAGATATTCTGAAGACCTCATCATTGTTAATGTGAGCTACTTATGATATTTGTTCCGAACCTTTTCATTGTAAATGTGATCTATTACGTAAATGTGATCTGACAGGAAGTCTTCATTGTTCATGTGATTTGCTTATGATATAATACATATTCAGTGATAAAGAGATTTTTTAAGACAAGCTAAGATCATTTTAATATAATATAGAATTTGTTTTCCCATATATTGTATAATATTAAATGCAAAGTGTGTCCTTGAAAAGTAGTACCCACGGACGAGGTAGTACCGTGCTTTAATAAAAAAAAAACATAATTATATGAGATAGGGAGTCAATTTATAATAAACAATACTATATGCCTTGTGTCAAAGTAGATAAAGGATTGAAATAAAAATAGATATTTGCATTGAAGCCATATATTATTAATCGGTAAGTTAGATCGTACAGTAATATACTGCTTAATTTAAGATATTGTTTAAATAAATGTGGAGAAATTGCATCTGAACCAAGAAATCTCTATTTGTCGCAAGAAGTCTTTAAAATGGTTTAATTTTCTTTTAAATATATAATTGTTTTGATTAAATCAGTGGTAATCAGGAATTTCGGTTAGCCCATAAGTTACTTAATATTTTTATCCTGACGATTATGAGGATAAACTTGTGCCTGTACGCTTCATTAACTTCACCATGGAATTAATGATCATTACCATATATTTCCCATGTTTAAAACAAAACACTCTAGGCATGTCTAATATGCTCTAATCACCATTTTTCTATCGATTTTATAGACATACTTTCGCTTTCAGCACAATCATTTCGAATCGTTTCGAATAGTCATGAAATTTGGACTGTATGTGAATAAAGGATATAACACACCTAACCACTAATATTGGTGATGGCCCTCTATAAATAATAGTTTTTAAAAAGTACTGTTTATATTAGACTCCACCTTAGCAGACAAAAAAAAAAAAATTGTGATATACTAAATATATAATAATAATGTTATAAGATATAGAAAATTTTCTCACTTAAGATTGTTCTTGAAGTTTAATAGTTCCAACGATGTATATAAATATTAAAATTTATCTAATAAATTCATTGAGCAATTTTCATTAAAAACATATTGAAGATATAATTTTTTATAAACAAAAACATTTCAAAATAATATTATTATAGTCGGTAATTTAATTTTTGTTGGGTTTGTGGTCCGTATCGAGTTATTACACCTACTGAAGTGAAGAAGTTGAGACGTTGCCTGGAAGAAGTTGAGACTTCTATTTACATGCTTTGTAACTATTTCGCTTGGATGTAGGTTAGAAGGGATATATTGACGGAAGAGCTTGAAGAACATTCTGGTCTTCATTTGAACGACTTAATGAGACACTGGAAAAGTGGTTTGTTCTAGTGTGAGTCATTTTCTTCTACAATATACTAATCCTATATTTTTTCTTAAAGGAAATCCATGGAATCACAATTAATTTTCCATTTGTATTGTTTTTAAAAAAATTTGAAATCCTAATACTTTTAATCCCATTTCTACTGCGTTCATAATTCCCCACTGCTGTCATTTTATTATTATTATTTATTAATATTATTTATTATTTTATTATTACGTAAGTATTTATTATTTTATTATTATGTAAGTATATAAAATTCATTCACTTTATTTATTAATAAAAAAATAATAATGAATTTATTTCAAATAATTAATTTTAATTTTAAGAAATATCGTTTCTTTTTAAAATTTTGACAAAAAAATAAAAAATTTCAAATTATAATTTTATATTTTTTTTTTTTTAAATTTTTGTGTAAAATCTGAGCACTATAATTATTTCTTTAGTAAAATAAATCGTAAAGTAAATAAAAATCATTTAAGACTTTAATCTGATTTATAATTTAAAATATTTAAACACATCAATCGAAAATTATTCAATAAAAAATATACACATGAATTGACATAATTGTGACCCATATAAAATTTTCAAATTCACATCGATAATATTAGAAGCTAAAAAAATCAATAACCTCAAAGCTCTTGAATGATTTTAAAACACTTAAAAGATACACTTTTGCATGTACACTTACGTGTTTATGTATCTATGCATATGATAAGTTCTTTGAACTACTGCTATGTATCAAATAAAAATAGTTAATATTTTTTTTTCTGTAATACAATGAAAATTTATAATTTATGCAATGCAAATATGTCTGCCAATTTAAATATCAAAAAAAAAAAATAAAGCATATAGTCTAAGCTAAAAAATAAATAGTGCATATGAAAAATATATTTGAATATACATACAAATTTATCCACAGAAATACTCCCGTAAATATATGTGCTTTACCTGTGTGCTATATACGGAATTGTATACATGTGTGCACTTATCGCATATAGATTGACACAACGGACTGACATTGAAATTTGACAAGCGCACTTACTGTTGTATTCCGTTGACTTTCTTCCGTTTTGTTGCTTTTGGTTTGCATTAAATTAAAAATGATAAGCGTAAAAAGGGATGAAAGAGAAAGCTTTAGTAGATATTGTTATGAAAGCTAAATGATAATGGGGGTAAAAAAGACAAATACGCACACAAACACACAATTGAAAACATACAACACAATGTGCACACAAAAACACTAACGCAAATTAAAAATGAAATTCAAATAACAATTATAAAGGCGGTGCCCAGATGTACACTTTACGTCAACGGGCGTTGACAAGCAATATGAACAGAAACTCAAATATACGTTTATGTGTGCACAAACTGTATATATTTCGAGACAGCCAATGAGATGGTTTTTGACGCGTGTATATGTTTGGCCTGATGTGGTGTGTTTGATGTGTCAGTGCAAGCGCGTAGAAGTGTTAGTAATACAAATGGTTGAAAACAGTGGCGGAATTATACTAAACTATACTACATTTAACATTTTTGATGATAAATTATAATATAGATAAATTGAATTTGGATAAAATCAAACAAAAATAGTATTTTTAAAAAAATATAAAAAATAAAAATAATCTGAAAATAAGTATATAAATATAGTATATATTTATAGTCTAAATAACCTAAATATTTATAATCTGAAATATAGTATATAAATTGACAAATCAATTTA